GTCTATCTCTCTCTCCTCTCTATCTAGTTTTACAAACAACTTGTCTAGGGAAATGATGACTAATCATACGACTAAAACCAAGTGGCAATCATCCCAGTTGCAAACGCCAGTAACCTATCCCAATAAATATAACTACAAAGCTAACATTCCGACAATAAGGATGGGCCCTATGGCCTTAAACAACGCAGCCAGAACCCAGCCGGGCCTAGCCCGTAGCATTGTGATAGATTCCGGCCATCCCTGCTCCTGCATCCTCCTCAATAATCGATTATGGAGTAACGCATCAAATGCTCCTTGAACGTCCAACGTTACAAAAGTAGCTGCCCATCCTTGTGAATTTGCCTCTTCAATGTCGTGGACCACACATGAGACCAGATCTGTTGCTGGCCGACTACATCATGGATTAATGCAAGGTGTGCCATGCGCTTAGCTATGAGCCTTTCTAACCCTTTTCTCAAGCATGAGAGAAGAGCGATTGGTCTCCAACCTTTGATTGTCGTTGGGTCTGTATTGTTCTTTTGAAGGAGGACCACCTCAGCTAATTTGAAGCACTGTGGATGGGTACCAAGCAGAATGCAAGCTCGGAACAGTTGGGAAATCCGAGGCCCGATTGTATTCCAACACGCCTCCAGCAGGTTTACGGAGACTCCATCTGCTCGTGGGGCCGTATTTCCGCAACCAATGGTGCAGGCTCGGACTTCTTCATCTGTTACGACTTCTTCCCATGGTATCCGACTGCTGCTCGCAACTGTGCATGGCAACAAGTCGTCTGATGCCTGAAATCGTGCCAGGAGAGAGTCGCGAAGGATCGTGGCCCGTTTTAATGGATCTGTTATCAACGTTCCATTGTGATTCAGTGGCGGAGGGATACTAGCCTGTCTGGGGTTATCCATTCTCATTAGCTTGAATACATCAGTCGGCGTAGTAATTGATTCGACCTGTTGGGTTTTGAACTCCTTTTTCGAGGTCTTCACAACTGATCGGAGCTTTTTCGCGCAGAGTGCCCGTTGGCTGGGAGTTATAGCGCTTTTAAACTCAGCAAAGGCTGCCTTGAACTCTGGGGTCAATCACGGAGCAGATCTACCGCAGCGGGCTTTTGGTCGTGTTCCTACTGCATTGATTACCTTGGCGTATCTGGGTAGCTTTTCCTTTGTTACTCGGAGTTTTGCCTTTTCGGGTCTCATCACTGAGTTGCGAACTGGAATTTGTCCTCGGATAGAGAAGTGATCGCTGGTGACACATCCACCACGATCTACCCAAGCACGGGCGCCGTCGATATTACTCCAAACTAGATCTAGCGTGTTCCCAGCTCGGTGAGTGGGCTCCCCAACAATATGGCAGGTCAAATGGTGTTTGTCTGCCCATTTTTCGATCATTTCTCCTTGTCCATGAGGACGTTCCACACCAGGTTGCCAAGCCAAATATACAGAGTTAAAGTCCCCTGCAGCGACGGAGTTTGGCAGTGGAATCCAGTTGATTAGTGGCTGGATAGCTGTCGAGTCATTGGGTGCCATATAGACATTGAGAAAAGTGATACTGTTCACTTCCACCCAGCAGTAGTCTCCTGTAGACACAACATAAGGAAAGATCTGTGTTGCCGATATATTTTTATCGTTTATCCGGGTATAGGTCACAGCCCTCGGCCTAACATTTTCGCGGCCGTTAGGCAGATGATAGGTATATCCTGGGTGATCCTTTGTTGTGTTCTTTTGTTTATTCCACAGAGGTTCTTGAACAAGAACCACGTCGATACCCAGCTCAAATGCTCTGGCAAGCGCAATATTTTGCGTTGAGCCCCCTCTACCTACGTTTATTGACATAAAGCTTAGAGTAGGAGAGAGGCTTGAAGAGACCCGTGGGTTGTCCTTCACAAAAAATTTGCTGATTTGATGCCTCATCGACCTCGGCTACAGTTGCTGTAGCGTCGGACATGAGAACTTCAAAACAGTTGCTCGATTTAAATCCTGGCTGGTTAGTATTTGACGCTTCTGTGGCTGCTGCCATCGCTGCCTCTGCGCGTCTGACAGCTGCTTAGGCCCGAGTAACTGCCGCGAATTCGCGTTGGCCAGCCTGCCTGATGGTCTGTAGGTTTTCACGGAGGCCGTCCCAGACTTTGTAGGGCGAGCTAGACAGTCCCGACTATCTGACCTGTGTGGACTTCCGCAGTTGCGGCACTTGGTGTGTGCCTTGCACTCCGGGATGGAATGCATAGTTGAAGTACAATTCCAGCAAGCTGGGGCACGCGAGCAGCCCCTGGTGCCATGAAACTGTAGGCATCGTTTGCACTGGTTGATGCTTTGACGAGGCTGGTGGCGGACTGCAATCCCAGAGTCGTCGAAAAGTCGGAAGCCTGACCGAGGAATCGATGCTTTTTCAAAAAGGGCTACCCATGACTGGTATGGGGCGCTCGGTCGGCTTTTCCCGTGTGGGCGAACTTTTACCGGGACAGCTTTGGTGACCCTGACTATCTCGTCGGCCACCATCTTTTCTGTGATGAGAACTTTGCCCATTATTGTGTTAATTGCGACTGGGACCGTCGCTATTCTAAGGGAAGCCAAGTCCGAGGCTTTCTCTAATATCGCATCCTGCTGGGCGAAGGATCCAGCTAGGCTAAGCATCAGCGTGCGTGCCTCTTGGTTTTCGGCTCTGATTGCGAAGCCAGTTGGCACACGGTAGACATGCTCAATTTCTGTTTGGGGGATTTCGAGCATTTGCGTAATTGCTTCTCTAACATCGAAAGTTGAGAGTGTTCGCCAGGGATGTTCTTTTTCGAGGCGGAGAAACAAACGTTCGTCTTGCACGGCAGGTTTTGTTAGCCCGGTTGAATTTTGGGCCATTCGAGTCGAGTCTGCCGCCTTGGGCATTGTCTGCGCGACTTTTGTAGGTGCCGGGAGCGTTTGTAGACCATTTCGGGTGATCGAGGCCCAAGTGGTTTTGGCCTGGCGCACTTCGGCTTGAGCCGCTTCGCGATGTGGCTCACTTTGCTTACCAGCGGCATATTCTGGGGTCTTGCAACTAGTAGCCTGGCTTTAGGGGCGTGGGGGAAGTGATGGGAGGACTGTACCTGGTCCCGCGATCATAAATTGAGCTATTGCAGCTCTAATGTAGACTTTCATAGAGTCTATAAATTGAACACTCGACCCTTTGGATAGGGGGGAGAGTGCATTCTCGACACCGTTTATTGCAGCGGTGCAAATTTTTACATTTTCCGCAGTTTTTGCGGCCCGGCGTTCTTCAGCCTCAATTAAGGCTCTGAGTTCGGGGGGGGGGGGGGCATTCCACCGTCTGCCTGCCTTCATTTCCACCGTGAGGAGAAGGATTCTCTTCTGTGGTTCCTGGTGTATGTTCCAGGGGGTTCGGGGTAGATGCTGCACCTTTTGCCTTGTTAGCATCTGCAATCGCAGCCCGCCTCATAGTCGGCACAGCGACTTCAATGAGAGGAAGTATATGCTGTCCGGTAGTCGCTGTCCCTAAATTGTTGCGACTCGTCGCTGCATTTTCAGCTCCGGTCGCATCTGGCTTGGAGTGAATTGAGTTGAGTAGTCTTTTCAGATTGTTAAGAATCTTGTCAATGTCAAAGTTGCCAACATCTATCATATCGCAGTCTATGGTACTTTCGTCGATTAATTGGTCGATGTTCATTTCTTGAACGGTAGTCAGTGGGCCCAACTTGACGCTTGCCTTCTGTCGAGCAACGTGTTTGAGGTGCTTGCGGTTATCTACGATGTCTTTCGCCCGCGATGGCTTACTGCGAACTGGGGGCATATTGGTAGCCTGCCAGTCGCTCACAAATTTTGAATTAAGGGCGTACGATATCACGATATCGAGAGAGGGAGGGAGAGGGGGAAAAGATGAAGATTCGAAAATTCGAATTTCATAAAATTGTGTGTGTATGTGTTGAATCTATGTTAATTTGTAACGGCTTGTGAGCCGATTATTGTGTGACACGTGATTGTATTCACGTGCTTCTATAATTCTACAGTAGTCTAGCTTTATTCCTGATCAGTTCAGCCGTAACTGGAATATTCTAGTAATCGTTAGCAAGACTTGGAACTGCTATGACTGGAATATACGAGAGGCAGATATCAGCCAAGAACGAGTGATCTAGAGATCTTCATGAATGTATAAATAGTTGAAGTAACATTCCAGTAGTTAGCCACAGAGATAACTATAAACTACCTTCGCATATCTGATTGCCCTAGCATCGACACTCGAACCGTGATATCTTTACACTTTAAAGTCTAGATTAGATTAGACTAGGTTTGTATTACAGTCCTAACTGAGTCGATGACAACAAAAGACTCCAAGAATCTATAAAGATACTAGCTACATTTCATATTTCCAATTGTTTAACTCTCAATTTAGTTCTCATGGATAGTGAGGTATAAGCCCTAAAAATTTGGTAGCTTCTCTTTGATTGAGCGTGTAATCCTTAGTGCAGGGACCATGTTAATCTTCTCTGCATCGTTTCAAATGGACCAAATGCCCTTAGGCAACTTTAAAGTCTACTATGATGCGTCTGAGAACATCAAAGGGAAATATCGAAGCTTTTTGTTATCCACTTACATTTTCGTTATCTTTGCGCCCAAGCATAAACTATCAATCAGCAATTTGAATGCATCATGATCGGTGGAGAGTCGTTGGCGTGAGCTCGGAGTAATGATTATCCGGGACATTCGTACCATATGCACATTAAGTCGACCTCGCACTTATTAACCTGGGTCACCAAAATGGTCGTCACTTGTTAGGGGACATTGCTGTGGATTCAAGATATTGGAAAATTCGGAGATTGCACAAAGGTACATCTATTCACTTTAGACCGTATATACGGAGTGGTAAGCCGATCAACATAAGCGCCGCACTTGTCGACAACTCGTCCACAATACTATTAACATCCTCAACATATCACAGTAAGAGATTGTCTGGCGAGTATTTCATGGTCGAATTAAAGATCTCGATCCCTGACTCAATAAAATACTACCATTTCCTCTCACAAGGACATGTCTGATTTGGATAATAAGAAAGCTCATTACTCCCCTCCCTGGGCAGATGTATGTATTATAGGAATTGCTGGTAGTTCAGGCTCCGGTAAATCAACACTTTCGAAGACCATTGTTGCGAAAATGAACTTACCTTGGGTTGTGATCCTTCCCATGGTAATGCAGCATAATGCTTAGTAGAAAACAATGTCTGATCCTCCAAACAGGACTCATTCTACAAAACACTGGATCCAGAATCTTCTCAAAAAGCCTTTCGAAATGAGTTCGACTTCGATAGCCCAGATGCCATCGATTTCGATGTTCTCGTCGGTAGACTACGTGACCTGAAGGCTGGGTGAGCATATTTTCCCTAAACTGCCAATTAAGTGGAAAAAATAATTGACCGATACTCCAAAGAAAGAGTGCTGAAATTCCAATTTATTCTTTTTCCAAGCATGCTAGAGAAGAAAAAACTACCTCTATTTACTCTCCACATGTTATGATTCTAGAGGGCATCTTCGCTCTGTACGATACTCGTGTTTTAGAACTTCTGGATATGAAAGTATGTTATTCTACAAGTCAAAATCATATTTTATAATTTTAATATCGATTTAAAGATTTTTTGCGAAGCAGATACGGACTTGTGTCTATCTCGCCGAAGTAAGTTTTTCGAATTACTAGAGCTAGCCACACTAACATTCTATAGTACTCAGAGATTTGAAAGAACGTGACAGAGATATGGAAGGCTGCATCAAGCAATGGTTTCAATTCGTCAAACCAAATTTCGAGCGCTATGTAGAGCCCCAAAGAAAAATTGCTGGTACAAAAATTACAGCATTCTTTGGTCGAGTTTAACAAGTTTACAGATATCATAATCCCTCGAGGTGTGGAGAATAAAGTGGCAATCAGTGAGTTCTCCAATAATATCTTCAATCATGGCTTGAATTCTAAGAGTTTATAGCCATGGTCACTCAATTTATTGAGAAAAAACTCCTAGAGAAATCGAATCTACATCGTGCTAAACTCAAAATTCTAGGGCAAAGCGCTAGTGATCATAGTCTCTCGGATAAAGTACTTATACTTGAAGATACCCGCCAGCTTCAAGCCATGAACACGATTCTTCAAGATGATTTAACGTCTGCAGAGGAGTTCATTTTCTATTTTGATAGAGTGTCAACTTTACTTGTGGAGAAGTTAGTTTCCCTTTAACTTGTAGATTTTATGGTCTGAAATTAACTAAAATAAAGTGCCCTAAATATTACCCGGTTCAAGCCAAAGCTTATCCATATTTCGGATGGGAAAACATTCAGTGGCCTCGAGCCAGTTGGTGAGACGAGTGCTGTCGTTGTACTTCGTGCAGGCTCTTCATTTGAGACAGGGCTAAAGAGAGTTTCACCTGACTGCCGAACCGGAAGGATACTTATTCAGTCCAATGATCGGAACGGTGAGCCTGAGTTACACTACTTAAAGCTTCCTGATGACATTCACACACATGATACTGTATTAATACTTGATCCGCAGTTGTCAAGTGGAGGAGCGGCTCTGATGGCTGTACAGGTTCTCATTGATCATGGTGTTGCACAAGACAGAATAGTATTTGTTACATACTTTTCAGGGAGAATGGGCCTAAACCGCTTAACACATGTTTTTCCGCATCTTCACGTTGTAGTTTGCAAGATCACTGGTGACATTCAAGAACGGTGGATTGAAAAGAAATACTTCGGATGCTGATAATCAAATATTTTACATGACTGAAATCTTCGTGATGATTCCATGAGATTTATGAAATTTTCAACTTTGGTGAATGTTCAGAATCATGAATAGCTTAGACTACTTTGGACCCAAAGAAATAAACATTTGGCCTCCTTTGAAACAAAAAAACTTCAATAAATAGATAACGCTAACAAACGTGGTTATTTGTAGAGACATCATTAAGAGGTGACATTTTCCTCATTTGCTAGAATAATAAATTTAAATTAATCATGATAGGACAAAATCAATGTAACAAATCTCTTTCAATAAGATTATTGAAGTTCTTCATTGTCATAGATCCAGAAAAATCCGAAGTTTAAATTTTGCTAGAAAAATAAGACCCTCAGCCTTGAGACTATAGAACGTATTCATTTAAGTACTTTATTGATCTACGTTTAACTCTAAGACACATGGGTTATGCCCAGCCTCTGAGTCCTTCAAAGAGACTTTGGGAGGGCAGTTACTGAACACCTGTTTACCTGTACAACGTGGCCTCTGCGAATCATGGAGTAAATTTTCACGATAGCGAACAATTTAGCCGAAAGGCCATTATCTAAGACTCTCTTAAGCCGGCATAGACGAATTCTTCACCTTCCAGTGGTGCCAGTGTAATCGCTCAGTATGCTCTGCATATCTGGGATAGTCAAGAATAATCGCATCCGAATCGAATTCGAAAGCATCGTCAATCATATCTCCATTTGATGACTTCTAGACAATACCTCTCTTATCATTATCATCTGAGTCCTCAACCCATCTCTAACCACGCGTCATCTCGCCTCGACGACGTATAAAAAAGTTGCTCCAATTGCGTACTGAAGCTTACTCCATCAATTCCCAGCCATCTCTCATTATATATTTACGACGCTATTTATACCCGCTAGGAGGAAATCAAGTCGAGAAACACAAAGCCTGGGTCCTGGCTTATGGGGGACTGTTGCTATATTAGGACAAAAAACTTGAGGAAGAACAGCTAGTTGAGATGTGGAGCGAGAGGGGGAACAGGTTTCTGAAGACCATGCTGAGACCGATATTTTCGCGGAGTTTTCAACTTTATATTTTTTGTGGGCGCCAAGAACGAGATTTCGCCTAGTTAGCCGGGAGAGCTTCTTTTGTCGATAAGTCAACGGCACTCCCAAGCGCCCTGGACGGCACATAAGAAGTTGGGCTAAGCTACTATTCAACAATCACACTCTTTCAAGACTTTTCTGAAATTACCGCACGACCATCGAGAGGTGTTGTAATTGTGCATCACGTGCAAGTGTCTTAGCGTGCAGGCGTTCTTTCATTACTGCGTTCAGTCTCATTGAAATATAGTCAATTATAACTCCTTGTAATTCACGACATAAGACACGTTCCTCTTCCTCAAGATCCATCTCAATATCTTAGGTTATAGCCCGGATTTAGCGCAGCGCTTATCATCAGTTCATTATCGAACATCGGATCCATAGAAAAATAAACAGATAAACTCTAAACAGGAACTAAATTAACAACAATGTCAAGCACCAAGGAAGATAAGAGAGCTATCATACTCAAATCTGGTGTTCCATTCACCACGTGGTCTTCCAATCTCGGAGTGCTCTTGCGCAGGATGGATTAGTTGGTTACGTCTTTCACAACGTCCCTAAAATCCGACCTAGGACTGCTCCAGTCGCACCGATCACACTGGGAGATGAAAAGGATACTTAAAAATATGACAAGTATTTGGATGAACTCGAAGCGTGGAAAATGAAGGACTTGCATGCTTATAGAATAGTCTTACGAAGGCTTGACCACAGTCTTAGACCAGATTCAGTAAATAACCTCACAGCACTTCAATTCTACACATTGGTTGTAAACACACACACGCCTTCAGCAGCAATTCCCTATACAACTTGCTACAAGAAACTAATAGATACCAAGTCTACTACAAGCGCTACCAATTATTGTAATGAATACCAGAAGAATCTTACAAATGTTCGCAATGCTGCTGTAAACTTGGAGTCAACAGTTGATAGATCTATAGAATACGGTATCTCTGATGGATTTGCCGCAGTAATGTTCTTCGAAGGAACATATCTGTCAGGAACTGAGGATAGAGCAGCACCCTCATATTCTTTCCCTGCACTACATCTGAATATTCTCTCATCTTAGAGCGTTTACCGGGTTACAATGGTTGCTATGGGTTACAAATGAAGTAATAGAATAGCAGCAGGCGCACCCCTTGAAGCCTTAGTTGCTCTGGTTACTATGATGTATATATGGGTTGGGTAGAGCCGATGTAGAGGGCCACGTCTTGTTTTCCGTCTTCCATTGACCTTGTCTCTTGTCTCTTGTCCTAGTTTCTCTTGTCCCTCGTCCTCAGTTATAGCTAGAATCCCGAATTAATACCTTAGTCTGTGACAAATCTTGTCAGATATCACTCGCACTTCTAAGTTATCCATAAAACACAACCCCTGGTACCCTCGAGTTTGGCAATATCACATTCAGTAGCTTGAAGCTTGGAGAGCAACAGGGGCAATTGATCGAGACCAACATGCTTACGCTCTACTAGAACAGATGATGGCTACACTCAGATCTACTGCAGGCGATCGGACTACTAAATACGATAACTCTATCGTAGTAGCAGCAGCATGCAACGAAGGTCTAAATGAAATTTGTCAACTCCATCCCGAATCAAAACATACCAACAGGAATTGTCGAGTCCAGCACCCTGAACAACGTGATAGTAGAGCTAGAAGCACCAAGAATATAAATTGCAAAGGTCGTGCCAATACTGCAACTTTAGATGAAGATTCTGGCAGTGACGAGCCATCAATAGCTATGACAGCTATCTGTGAAAGTTTGGCCTTGATAGCTAGCAGATCTGGCCACACCATTACAAAAGATACGTTGATCTGGGATTCTGGCGCCCCCAACCACTTCATAAACAATCGTTTAGCGTTTATCAGTTTAGCTAAGCCAAGCGAACCCTTCCGGCTCGATCAAGCTGTCAGCAAATCAGCTCTCAGTCATGGAGGTACAGCACGGGTAAAAGTCGGCAGCCTCAATCTCAAACTTGCAGACGCTCTATACTCTCTGCAGTCTTCAATAAATCTAATCTCAGCCGGTCGAGCCTACCGTCTTGCCAATATCTTAGAAGACCGCAAAGTCAGTCTACTTGTCCAATTTGTAAACGGCCGTCGAGTTCCAGTAGCTCAGCTTGTCTCCATCAACAATGTGTCAATCATTGTAGCACTTGATAAGACAAAACATTCAGAGAAACCTATTCATTTATCAGCGTCAGGTCTAATAAAACCCGCTGTGGCCAAACTTCAGAAATGCACCACTGCCGATAGATGGCACCAGCGGCTTGGTCATGTCGGACCATTAATTTTATCCAAAACAAAGACTAATGCCCAAGGTTGGGAGGACTTCAAACCGATGAGCTATCTCATTGCGAAGCGTGTCATCTCAGTAAAGCTTAGCGCACTATCACGCGGACGCCAAGGCCTATTCCATTTGCGCCTCTGGACGAAGTTTTTGTTGTCGTGGTTGTTCCCGTGGAGCCCAATATTTTTGGACAGCAATTCCTAGTCATTATTACAGATGCAACAACTCGCATGAGATGGTGGTTTGGTGCTGTGAAGAAAGATGAAATTCGTACTAAACTGATCGATTGGGTTAACACCATGAGCAATCAGTTCGGTAAAACACTTCGAGTCTGCTTCTCTGACAGAGGCACTGAAATTCAGCGAAATTCACAATGGCAAGAGATGGCTTGCCTTAAAGGTATTCGACAAGATATCTCAGCTCCATATACTCCAGAACAAAATGGCCCAGCTGAGGCAGCAAATAAGGTCATCATTATACAGGCACGGTGTCTACTAATTGATCCTGGAATGCCAGTAATTTTTTGGTACTGGGCTGTAAGTCATGCAGTTTTCCTCACCAATCACCTTTACAATCTGACCACTAGAAAAGTGCCTACTCTACAATTTCATTAAGAACTCCGAGTTACCCACCGCAAATACTTGGACTTCACTTGTCTCCCTCGCTTTGGCTGTAAAGCTTATCGAACGCTTAATATGCAAGAAAAAGGTGGCAAATTTGATCCACACGCGGAAGTAGGATGGTTTGTTGGTTTCCAAGCAAATACTACCAAAAATTTTCTTACAGTTGCCCCTCACAAAACTCCCCAGAAAAAATGGAGTTACAAAGTCTTCACCACCCCTTATGCGTCTTTCTATGAAGACTCTATATATAGGCCGACTATGGCGAAACTTCAATGTCTAACGCCTCAACAATACTACAGTGGTGGTGGTCTAGGCCTCAACTTTCCTCCTACAACAAGTGTAGACTTCCTGCCCCCAGCAAGCCCTCAGAATTTACACCCTCAAATTGTGCCAGATAATTCAACCTCTGTAAATCGAAAATCTTCAAGTTTCAGTAATGTAAAAAGAAGTACATTACAAGACCAATAAATTAATGGATAAATTTTTGACAACCTTGAGGATTACCAACCATTTCAACCTCAATGCGAGGATAATTTGAGAAATCAAGAGAAATTATCGCAGTCTGTATCACATACTACAGATGATGACGATGAAAGTGAGGGATCAAACTGGAGTGAGTCTGAAGATCAGGTCATACAAAGCGAGGAAGAAATTATTCAATATAATACTCCTATGCAGCCATTTCAGCCCCCGATCCTTGCAGGTCAAAAGACGGCTCATTCGCCCGCTCCACGGTCATCTTTTACTCCGAAGGAAGTTATACATCTCGGCTATAGCTCTCTAATTGACCCTTCAACATCATCTCGAGGTGGAAAACTGGCTGAGCAAGATGGACGCGAAACTCAGATCGAGTGTAACACTCTGATGACGCCATTTAATGCACCATCTCTCGCGGGTCAGAAAAGGGATTACTCGCCTACTCCTCCTTCGCCACCCTTGCCTCCAACTTTCATCACTCGTCGAGGACGTACTTCACAGCGGCATGACTATAAAAGACTCAACACTGGC